GACAGACCAGACGTCTTGATTTTGGTTGAGCAAGCACTTGTTATTCAGTAAGCGATTGTTGGTGTATTCACCTGCCCCTAAAGTGCAATTTGAATGTCAGAATTCACTAAGCGGGAGAGGGACAAGAGACAGAAGCCTCTATTTGAAATGTATTTGTATTAGCGAGGTTGTCTTTAGATAAGCTATTGCTGATAAAGCCGATGTCTTTGGCTAATAGAAGCTCATCACCAAAGTAACGGTTATCTAGTAATTACTAATCCGTATAATCTATATACATATTAAAGCAAGAAAGCTACCATATATAATTGATATTATGGTTAAGCCAAGTGGCAAGCTAATAAATATCAATAGTATATGGTAATTTTATTCTATATTTGAATATTTTAGTTAAATACAAATTATATATATATATATATATATATATATACACACACACACACACGAAATTTGAATTTAAATTAAAAATAAAATTTATCTTTTTTATCATGTTATCATACTTAATTCGGTTAATGATCATATGCAATCATGTTAGAAATTTTTGTTATTTTTTCTAATTATTTAAATACTATTTCGTCTCTACCAACAAAAAAAACTAATCCATATAACTATAAAACTCTTTCACATTTAAAATCTTATAAGTATAGTTCTTTGAAACACTGTAGCTAGAGTTGAGTAAAACGAAATTCTTAAAATAAATGTAATATATAGGGTACACGTTTATGTTTATCCAAATAACAAAAAAGAGTTTACAAAACCAAATAAAAGTTTACTTACATATATAATAAAGTAAATATACATGCTGCTGGAGAAAGAAATATCACAAAATCAGTCAATATTAAAAAAAATTGTTTCTTTTTTCTTCTTGAAGAATATTTGTTTGAAGAGTCAATTTGCATAAATGGACATCAAACAAATAACAAAACTTTGGCTATACAATTGTTTATCATTAATTTCAATTTAGCACATTCAAGGAATTGAAGGGTATAAGCTGAAACCCCTTCATTTAGCTATAGTCAAGCCAATATTGCAAGGGTATAATATTTTTTTCGTTGAAGAATATTAGTTTTGAATCATTAGATTATATGAAAGGTTTTTTTTTTTCAAACTCAACAAGAGAGAAATTCGTGTCTAATTGATAGTTTCTATAGCGACTTTTAAGTGTAACAAAGAGTATATATAAAGAAAAAATTGGTATGACGTGATATTTTTTTAAAAAAAATGTAAACAAATTATGTCGAAAAAACTCTTTACTTTTTTTAATTCAAAGATAATAAAAAGATAAGATATTTTTGAACATTTGTAGAGAGTTTTAAAATTATTACTATAATAGAAGTTATATCATGGATAAACTCAAAAAATCAAAATCTTATGGAATATTTACATATCGGCCATATTTATTGTTTACTTTTTATAACTGATATAAATAGATGATTTACCGATAACACACGATTATACACATATTATATATAAATTATATATAAATTACACATCATTTAATTTTTAAATTTAAGTGGTCGGGTGAGCACATATTTAGGCTGATTAGATAAAACCAAAAGAAAATATGAAATAATTTCAACCAAAGACTAAAAATATAATTAAAGTTCATATGTAGGCAATTTTTATTAAAACTCATTCTTTTATAGTGAAATAAATTAATTTTTTGTAACAAAAGAAATAATGACATAAAAATTAAGATAAAAGAAAATAAATATTGAAAAAAATGTTAGAAAGATCTAAAAACGAGAAATAAAATAGGACAACAAATTTCTTCTTATGTTTCATCTTTGCTGGGTATAAAAAATTTGAAAGTTAATCTCATCGATTTCAAATATTTTTTCAACTCAAATACATTGATTATAAGATAAGGATATCTTAGAATGTTTTTTTTATTTACATTATGTATCGTTTTTAAAAAAATCACTATTACTAACAAACTGATATGATTTTCAAATTTGAATTGGAATACAATTTGAGTAGTTTGTATTAAGGTTAAGCCAAGTATGATGTCGAAAAATAAACTACTTGATAATTTTAAGATAATATATGTAATATTTTATAATAATAATCAACCAATATAACATTTAATGATTCAAAGAACAAAATTTTTGTATATATAGGGTATTAAAAATTCAAATTCTGGGGCTAGAGATATCGATAAACTTAAAGTGGAGTCATACTGAAATAAATCCAGTCAAAGAATCATTTAAAANGTTTTAGAAATTGAAATTTCAAAATAAAAATATTTTTTGAAAGATAAAATCATACCAAATAAGAATTCAAGTCGTAGTATAAGAGTCACGTTATAATCAAAGAATCGTTTATATCGTGTCAACCTTTGTGCTTTGCCATAAATATGAGTTATTATTTCACTTTGTGGCTATTTTTAGGTTCCAATAACACCTATAAGAATAGTGCAAAAATAAAATTATCACTACGAGAATTGAGGAAATATTAGTCTTTTTTCATGTAGTGTTTCTTAATTAATATCTGACGACTATCTATAATTATTTAGAAGGTTTAAATGTTAAAGTTATTTACATATAATTCAAATAACTCAGATATTTAACATGGTTAATGTCAAATATCAAAATGGAGTAAAAAAAATTCACTAGCTAAAGAATTTTTTATATTTTTAGATAACCAACTAAAATGAGTTTTGAATTGAGAATAATATATTCAATTACGTTATTATAAAATAATTATTATTGAAAAATAATGTTTTAGAAACTGAAATTTTATGAAAGAAATATTTTTTAAGATATCAACACACCAAATAAGAGTTCAAGTAGTAGTAAAACAGTTGTTATCCAAAGAGTCATTCATTGTCTCAACATTGATTGTTTTGCCATAAATATGAGTTAGATCCAATAACACCGGCAAGAATGGTATCGAAAAAGAAAAATAGAAGAAATGGTTAATTTTTTCATGTAATTAATATCCAATGATTATCTATATTTACTGAGAAAGTGTAAATTTTAAGATTATTTACATACAATCCAAATAACTTAAATATTTGACATGATTAGTGTTCGCGCATCCGCTCGGGTACTAATACTAGTAAACAATTATAGGCATGAACTTTTCAGCTTTCACCTTTCAAGCTGTTATCTTTTGTGCATTAAACAATACTAATCAAATTTCTATCACCAACAATCTTTTCATCCTTATAAATTCACAACCCCTAACCTTAATCATTCTCATCTAAATTTTCTTCATTTCTATAGTTATATGTAGGTGGTAGACTCATCGCCGGTCATTATTATTCTGGCAAATTAGTGATGGTTCAAAAGCAATCTAACATTCTCAAGGCAATCTTGATTAATACCGGTGTTGTCGTTATACTTCGGCTCAGAAAAAGGCGTCTCATTTGTTTGTTTGGAATTCTAGGAGCTCCTTTGCTATGATTGAATATGTAATTAAAATTTATTATTCCTTTTGCAATATATATTTTTATGGTACTGTAAAAAGTTATCAATATTGAAAGTAATCAGATCCTCCTCTTCTATTTGTCTAATGCACTTTCATCATCCTATATGTAAATATAGCTGTGACGTTATATTTTTCATTCTTTTCTTTCTTTGTGCCTTTTATCTTATAGTTTTATTATAATTTTTATTCGAGAAAAGTTCAAAAATTGACAACCTTATGAAACAAAAGTGTGAACCATCTCATGTTTACATCCCTCATAGTTTTACATTATTATTTACTTTCTCTTTTTCATTATTTTTTTTATTTTCTCTTTTCTTATTCAAGTTTATGTATACTAATTCAAATGATTGATCATATTTAGTTTGGAATGTTGAAAATATTTTATCAAGGAATTTCACGTAGGAAGCATGTTCAAGATTGATTTTTCTTTATAAAGAACTTTGACATTATTATATAAATCTATTCTGATATTTTTTTTAATCGCGCGAAGCGCGAACAGTAGTTAAATAATAAATCATTTGACGAGCTATTATCTTATTCCTAAAAGGTTCCAAGGTTGATTCTCAAACAGACCCTTGACCTTCTTCTGTATTTTCTCAGGCTTAACAAAAATTGTAAGAAAAAAATTCTAAAAAAGGTGTTTGCTGCTTTTAAAGAAAAACAAATATCATATAAGACACTTATTTTAAGGGAAAACCCAGAAAAATAAAAGAATTTTTTATACAAATAGAAGGAATCTTTATATAATAGCCGACCGAATTTACTGATTACCTTTTCTAATCGATATACATAAATTTTATATTAATTATATACGATTTTATATATATACATCTACCGAATAATTATAATTTAAGCATTGGTGGGCGGCTATTAATTCTTAAAAAAAGAGAGGATAAAGTTATTGTGAAACACGTTGCGCCTCATCTTTTGTATTGGGCCACTATATATCAGTCTAGTTTTTGGTACGGCCCAGTTTGATCCAAATCAAATCCTTGTTTGGTAAATATTGTACGGGCTAGCCAGTTTTCGGACTGGTCATTCAAAAATAGTCTGCTTTTGCAAAGTCATTAAAAAATAGTCACTATTTTGCTGCAACACGGAAAATTACAGTATAGTATACTAGAGATGGTGCACCTGTCCAACATATTATGCTGAAACTCCAACATGCAGAAAGTTCTAGTATAATATACTGCTCCAATCTACAGTATATTATGTTGGACCAGTATATTTATGCTGGAATATTTTTGTAGATTTTGAACAGTATTTTTGTTTATTTTACTAAAAAGTGGTTAAATTTCAATTACTCTTTTAAATTGCGGTTATTTTTGTATTACCACTGTTAATCTGACTATTTTTTAATTTCTCCCCCTTGTTTTGTTCGGGTATAATCTGCTGGCGGTAGAATTTATTATAATCCGTTTCTTCTTTTCGAAAATATCATTCTCTGTTAGAATTCGTGGGATTGCTGAATCAGTCTGAAGCTTTGATTCTCCTGTAATTGAGCGAATTCCTACGACCCCTAAGGATTTGTGGCTAAAGATCAATTTTTTTTCATGGATCCCAAATATGCAGGAGAAACCTTTAAGTAATTTATATTTTTGAGTTACTTTCCTCTTTCTTCATAATGTTCTGCTTGTATGAAAGATGTTTTCTTTTCTTGGTTTTATGTGGGTGACTGGGTGTTTATTTTGGTCTCTGAATAATGTTTTTGGTACAGGCATCTGGAGAAAGAAAGTGAACTACTCTTGAATGCCTATAAATCAATGTCAGATGAATTGCACAGACTTCAGGTATTCACTTTAACCTAAAGGTGTTAAACGGGTGGGCCGGGCCACTATTTTTTGGACCCGTACGGGTTACGGTCCGGTCTGGTTCCANTGGCTAAATGCACTCTCCGATGCAACAGTAGAAATTGGCACATTCAGCACGTCCCAAGCCATAGCGAAAAGAACAGGAAATTGTTTTCCATTCTCATGCCACCATCCCAATGGTGAAAATTCCTTTGTGCGAGGCTCTTTTTGCTTCTGCAAGTAGAATTGAAGTTCATCAATGTTCATGCTACTGGTTTGAGTGTTAGAAAATATAGAAAAAATATTAAAACTATCAAGGCCTTATTCATCATCCACAGTAGCAGAAGTGGTACAGTGCATAGTGGGATTAACATTGCCTACAACACGAGCAACATCATCAATTACATTTGCATAATAATTATATAATTGTTGTAAATAATCATTTAGCTTGTTCATAGAGACATAAATCTGGGGTTTCAGTTGGTCCAATCTCCATATAAGTATATAAAACATTCATTAATTGGTGACAATCAGACATCTTAATAGAAGGATTTAAAACTGCACCAATTAAGTAAACCGGAGGAATTGGAAAGAAATATTTTTTGAATTTTGCTTGCATTTTTTCAACATCCTTATATTTTTCTTTCTTCTTAAATTCAGAGAGTAGAAAAGAAATTTCAGCTATATGTACTAAAGCCATAGTAACAGTAGGTAATATGCTCCAGAAAACTCAACAGTAGCTGTATAAAATTTATGTAAAAATTTAACAACATCACTAATGACCTCCCAATTACTAGTTGTTAACATACGGTTTGGATCAGTACAATGCGCATTAGCAACTTCAGTTATTGAGAATCTATATTTGTAGCAACATTTTAAAAATATATATGTATAATTCCATCTAGTAACAATTTCGTCTGGCATGAATCTGGGTTTAAGGTTATACTGGACACACTTATTCTTAAATTCCTTTATTCTAGATTGTCTATTATTTCCTTGAATAACACCAACTGCTCTTCTAACATGAGTAATCTCAGTTGAAAATAAATCAAGGCCACTTTTAACAATTAAATTATAAACATGACATGCACACCTAACATGAAAAATTTTATCAAGAGGTGGTTGCAAATGCAGTTTTAATATTTAAATTGCGGCATTATTGTTAGAAGCATTATCAAAAGACATACACAATACTTTTTGCTTTAGATTATAAAATTCAACAACTTCACAAATAGTACTACTTATAAACTCAGCAGTATGACTCTGATCTTCATCATATCTAAAAGCGATAATACGTTTTTGCATACAAGTAGTATCATCTATCCAATGACATGTAATTGTCAAATAATCATTTCCATTAACAGCATGGCCAATATCAGAAGTTAGAGAAACTCTACAAGGAAGGTGGCTAAACAAATAACGTATGTATGTTTGATATTGTCCATGAAGTCTAAAGATATCAGCTCTACAAGTACTTCTAGGGATACCTTTAAATAAAGGATTGTAAATCCTTTGAATATACATAATAAGATATGATGAAGAAGCAAAAGAAAAAAGGTAGACAACCCAAATCAATCATTTTTGCTAACTCCTCACGATCCTTCATTTTATCATATTTCACTAGACCTCCAGTAGTAGGGTTAATAGTTGTTTGATTTCCATCACCATCAGCGCCATATTCTATGGAATGCTCAATTCTCATATGTCTACTAAGCGTCCCAGTCCCCCCTAAATTTCCTCCAGTCAAATGTTTAAAATCACATTTACAAATTTTGCATTTAACTCTATCAGTACCTTCTATTATTTCAAAAAAATTCCAAACCCTACTTATTTTTCTACGATTAATAATCGAAGCCACAGGTGGTCTACTACTAGTGCCACGACCACCACCCCTTGTAGCAACTCCAACACTACCAGCTCCAGCACTAGTAGGTGTAGCTGGTATCTCATCTTCCATTCCTATTTCATTATCTTCTATTCCAAAATCTTCTTGTAATTGTTCATAATCTATATCTATATTATCATTAGGCGATGTTTCGGAAACTGTGAAAATAATAATGGGTTATTACTATTACTACCAAATGCTGAAGGACTACCTCTTTTTTTATTTCCCCTACCAGTAACTCTTTTACACGCTCTTTTAGCAGCATTAAACATATTGTAAAAATTAAAGTATAAGCTAAAATTAAATATGCAATTAAAATAGTAAATAAGAGAAAGAGTTGGAGGGAGTGCACCGAATTCGACAATAAATTGAGCACTTGATTACGCAATTCCGATGTTACCACGAACAAACGTCAAGCAAGTATTTCAATTTTGAACTTCAATTGTTCAAACTTCAAATTCTGAATGATAAAACACGATAAATTAAATTCAAGAAAAGAGAGCCAAATAAAATTAGAAGATGAATTGAAGACTTGAAGTCTTGCAAATTGGAGAATGAGAGAATGAGAGAAATTGAGATTGAGAAATGAGTATTGAGTGAAGAAATGAAGAAGAGGGGGTGAGGGAGGTATTTATAGTTTTAGAGAAGGTTAGTTTTGTAAATTGAAAAAGGGTTAAAAATAAAAAAAAAGGCTATTTGTGCAATTTTTCCGTTGGCCAACGGACCAATTCAAGGTCTGACCGTTGCCAACGGTCAGTGGGGCCCACCTATTTCGAAAATTAAAAAAAAAAACAAAAAAAAACAAATTCTAGCCGTTGTACCGGGTCGGTTAACCCGGTAAGGGTAACTGTTCATGGGACCGGGTTCATCCGGTCCGATTACCCGTTTTAAAATTCTAAACGGACCAACCCCCTCTACCCTTCCTACCCAGCTCAGCCCAACCCCCTTTAACCGGTCCGGGCCGGTTCCGGGTTTAACCGGTCTGGGCCGGTCCGGAACCGGGTCAACCCGGCCCGTTTAACACCTATACTTTAACCTCTTACTCCTCTTTTACCAAATTACTAAAAAAAAAAAGAACCTTTCTACTTGAACAGTAATCATATATTGATAGGAAAAATAGATGTACAAACTCTAGCTATTAACTTGCAAGATAAGAGAATCTCTTAATTTTTTTCTTTTGATAACTGACAAATCCTCGCGGTCCAATCAGTGGCATAGCCACATAGAGTGAGTGTATTCGGTTGAACACCCTTCATCCGAAAATTATACTGAGAAATATATACTACTATGTGTATAGGTCAAAAGTTACTTTTTATAAATATATATTAAACTTTGAACATCTTTACAAATTTTCTGGCTTCGCTACTAGGGCCATGGTGCACGGTTTGAAACTCGATGGATGATGGGTCCGTCCATCTATCCTCCTCCACTTAAATATATGAGGTTTTTGCCAGGGTCGGATGGAGCTTATAAGTATCGAGTTCATGTAGTATTATTGACATGGAACATAAATTTATGTGTAATTCACTAAAGGTGCAATAAATGGCTGCTGTGAACCCATAATTTTAAATTTAAATGGGTTCAAGACTAAAAAACTTAAAGGTTGGACTTCATAGAGCTTAAATCCTGAATGTGCCTCTGTTATTTTCTGTAGCTTGTGACGTGCGCCTAACAAAAACATCAAACATCACGGGTTGCACTCTAGACCAAAGCCCTGAGGCGAGAATCTCTGAAGTATTTCCAAGTAAAGTTGCTAAGATATTGAGACTCTAGCTAAACATCTTAGACTACTTCGAAATGTATAAATGGATGGACAAAATATTATTTTGTTTATCCTACTTTGATGTCTTGGTTTGGTTTTGCACATGTATTGAGAGCTTAATATATATTGACAAAACATGTGGCGCTGACAATAAAATTGGACCTTTTTTTGGGTACATAAGCAATATTACTACCAACTGAGAAAATTACAGCTCAAGAAAAAAAGAAGATAGCAAACTGGACTACCACAGTTTTGCACTCCAACACTACTCAGTTCATCATGTCAAATAGCCTACAATCCTTACAAAGCAGGATAAAAGTGCATAGTATTTAATGTACTGTTAAGCTTGCTGCACATGCTGCCTCTCACAAAGACATCATGAATGATCATCTTGATAATTTCTGCAGGTTGTCTTCTCTTGCTCTGAACACCACCATATCCCTTTCTTGCCAAATGAAATACACAGTTGCTGCCAAGGTTGTTCTATATATGGTGGCTGCTGCACGCTTCTCTCTGCAACTACTTTCAAGCCATTGCATTTCTTCAGTCCACTCCATAGCATTCCTAGATATACCTTGCCATTCCAGTAGCTGTCCCCAAATAGAAGCAGATACAACACATCTGAAGAATAGATGTTCAGTGCTTTCCAATTCTACCTGACATAAAGGACATGTCTGATCCACCACAATTCCCCAGTGAGCTAGTCGATCCTTTGTATATAACCTTCCATGAGCTACCATATTCCCTATGAACAGCCATTTAGGGGATCCTGGGTCGTTGCATATTAATCTTCTCTAAGTAACCTTTGTCTACTCTCCAAGCATCTTCAGATACATCTGTTTGACCTGTTATTACTTTGTGTATATAGTAATTTGTATTAAAGGACATTACTTTGGGATGGACATAGAATGAAAGAACACAATAAAACACTAGCATTGGATATATGACACTCATAAAGAAAGAAAAAAATGTAATGTACACTTGTAGTTGAATAGTAGTGCCAGATGTTATGTGTTATGAGCTTTCTGCAGTCACGTAAACATTTTTCAAACGATATATTTTTTCAGGTGGTGGAAGTTGGGTTGGGGGAGGAAAGGGAAGGGAGAGACTCAACCCTTAATAGCAGTGGCCTTAGTTAGGGGCACATTCAATCTAGTTATGTGCACCACTGCTTTCAGCTCATTCGTTGTTTTATATGCCACATCAATAATTTCGAAAGGCCTATTGATATTCTGGCTTCTGTGAGAGCAAAGCCCTTCTTATTAGCTGTTTCTTTTCATTTCCGTTCCATTTTTCCATTTCTTGCCATTTGCATTTCCGCTTGTGGGATAGGGGTGTTCATGGTTCGGTTTGGGTCGGTTTTTCCCTAAAAAGAAACCAAACCAAGTAAGTCGGTTTTTCAAATATTAGAACAAAACCAAACCAAACCAATTAAGTCGGTTTTTTATCGATTCGGTTTTTGTCGGTTTTTCGGTTTTTCCGGTTATTTATCGGTTTTTTTCTTAAATATGAGACATACGCTACCAAACGCATATTCCGGCGACTACATNATATATATATATATAGGTGTATAATAAAATTTAAATAGCTACTTTTATAGTCGGCTTGGTTCGGGTTTTTTTCGCTTATTTTTTGATTAAAACCAAAACTAAACCAATTTTGATCGGTTTTTAAAATTCAAAACCAAAACCAAACCAAACCTAAAAAGTATCGTTTTTTTTTGGTCGGTTTGGTTCGGTTTTTCGGGTTTTTTATGAACACCCCTATGTGGGATTATATTGGGTGGTGGTTGTTGTTTGTTTAATGTATCAATTTTNCCATTTTTCCATTGCATTTCAATTTAATGTATCAATTTTGCATGTCGACTGCTTGTAGGTTGAGGAAGAAATGCTGATGCGCAAGTTCTATGAACTTATGACTGCTCATGGTCTAAATAAAAAGGTATATTCATCACACTTGTAGAAAAGCTTTGTGGTCTAAGTCTCTTTGTCATCTTAGTTCCTATATCTGCTTTGTAGTTGTTTCAATGTGAAGGACCTTTTCAACCCCTAGTATTGGAGTTTTTGAATCTCTAGTAAAGGGAATACTCTTATTTCTTGTCTTTCCGACTCTCCCCTTCATCTTTACAGCACACAAAGGAATGACTTAACTTGTCCGAGTTCTGAGAATTCACGTTAAGCATGACATTTTTAATCTCGTAACTTTCTGTTTGCTTCCAATGCGTATAGATAACTTGCTAAATTTGATGCCACTGCTAAGGTTGTTTTGTGAGATACTGTGTACTTATTGGGAAGTACAACTTTGACTTAGCAATCTACTCGACTCCTGGTCCCGAGTTGTTGAAAAGTTTTTAGGTGCAGGTGTTAAATATGTAATGCGTGTCAAAATGGATACTTGGTACCATTTAGTTTAGAGCCCAAACAGAAGAGGCATGGTTGAAACTGAGCTCAGTCATTTTGACCAGATAAGTTGAAGATATCTGTGGTCTTTATGCAGTGAGTGTTTTAATTTCAAATCAGTGCTGAAAATTGGAACCCAAAAGCTCCTTGCAAGAATGCTCAACCGATGTGTATAGAGCTCTCTAGCACATATGTCAGAACATGAAAGAACCTCTAATTAAGACAATCTGTGCTAAGAAGTTTATAGATGCGGATACCTTGATAAAAACATAATAGCTTAAAAGAGATAACTATGCAATTGAAACCTTGGAACTGGTGAATTTTTGCGATTCACAGAGTAGCTTTTTCCTTAGTATCCCTCCTGCTATTTTCCCTGCTTCTTTAGTCTTTGGTTCTAATACACTAACCAACCCTCATCTTTTGCAGAAAGGTTTCAATGATAATGCTGATGAAAGGCAGAATGGCCTGCAAGGAGCAGCGGCTGACGTGACTAATGGTGCTGATGAAAGGCAGAATGAACAGGAAGGAGCTATCATCTATATGACGAATGGTGATCACTAATGTATAAGTGAGTTAGATAGATATTCAGTTCCTAAATTATCTGTATAAAAATCCATTGTTAGCATTCTACACTTACAATATGTCATTTGGGTGGTAAAACTGCACCATTCTGGCCCATCTTGATTTTCACCTCTTCACTACTCGGCATATGTTTTCTTTTCTGTTTGGCCTTTTTTTAGGCTCGCATTGTTCCAGAGGCTTTTTGATTACTTCTCACATAGATCTCTCAGCTCCATAGACAGCAATATGCCTTTTAATAACATAGTAGATGACACAAGCCATTTTCCATGTCTCTGTGTACAGTTTTATACTTGCTTAGTACCTTTGTCAGCACAGCTTATTATAACACCCTGTCCCACATTGGACAAAAGGGAGGCTTGGATAGCATATAAGTAGTTCGCGACCCTTTACCTCATGAGCTAGCTTTTGGGGTTGAAGTTAGGCGGTGATCACGCCCAACTATGCATTATAAAAAGGACTAAGCGGTCGTTGCAAATATACTCCGGTTTACAAGTCCGGAGTCGAATCCCACAGAGAACTAAGACTTAGCTACAGCTGTTCAATATCACCAAGAAGACAAGCTTGAACAATTCCTAACTTATAGATATTAAGATTTTTGTGTTTAACTAATTAACTAACAAATTAAAATAGTAAATTAACAACTAAAGATACTAAGGGTTAGAGACAAGATTCAGGAGGTTTTAGAGTTATGATTTCCCCTATTGTCGGAGTCCTTCCCGCTACGTTTTCTATAAATTCGCCTAAGTATTCTCTACCGATCATGAGCGCTCTGACTGTCGTAACTCTCTTCCGAGTAATTACCACAATTTACTAGACATATTCTCCCGAATTACGCTAGTTGGCATTAAGTACGACTCACTCGGATCGCACCCAAGGTTTCGTTATCCCTAATCCCACCTTTAAACCCTCCGTATTGATCCCTCATACACGCTAGGAGTGATGTTGTTCAACAACTACCTAAATATGCACTCTCTCCCGAGTAATACACACTAAATAAGCACAGTCGAGTGAAAGCTCTTCAACCAACTACAAAATAATATAGTTGAACAAATAGAGAAAATACTATGGCAAATCTATATTAACGTAATAAGAAAATCATCCTTCCATTGGTTCTATCAAAACCCTAGATAACAAATTAGCTATTCATAATAGTATGCATAACTACAATACTAGAATTCTTAACCAATAATGAAAATAGGAAGAAGGAAGTGAAAAACTCGTAGAAGAATTCTCCTCCTTGCTCCTAGTGTGTTCTTGCCTCCTTAAGTCGAATCCTTGGTCTCCTTAGCCTCCTTAGGTCTAAATTATGTCAAAAGTCCTCAAAATGCCGTTTTCCATGTATATATACCAAGTAGGGTTGGGCCCAAACAATTACACCTTTTCCTACGCGAAAAAGGACACTTTTTCCGGACAGGACGTGCGCGGCCGCGAATCAACCGCGAATTGGCCGCGGATTTTAACCAGTGTTCCGCCCCATTTGCGCGGCCAATGCGCGGCCACCCACTTGCCGCGCACTTTTCACCCTGTTCTATTAGGAATTTGAAAAAACGTAAGACATAAAAGTTGTATCCCTTTGAGTTAGCTTTCCAACAATATATTGTGGAGCCCAAATGGAGTTCTAAGCAAAAAGTTATGTGCATTTTACTAGACAGCTCGATTCTTCGTTTCGTTGCTCTATCATCCGTTGATCCCCGAACACGATCCCGGCTTGATTCATTGGGCTTTTACTCATACTTCAAAGCTCCAAATCACTTGAATTCATTCCATAACATCTACATAGCTCGGAATCACTCCTACAAAGCATAAAACACACAATTAGTGCAAAACACTAGCGATTAAAGCTCAAACTCAATTAAAGTGCAATACATTAGAGTGTAATAAGCGACTAAAACACGTAATTATAGCCTATTATCAGGCGGGTTCATAACAACGTGAGATTAAAGCAAGCCTCACCTCTCACCCTCCACACAAACGAGAGAGAAAAATGAATGTTGAAGGAGCCATCATCAACATGATGAATGGTGATCACTATGTATAAATGAGTTTGTTAGATATTTAATTTCTAAGCTATCTGGATAGAAGTCCATTATTAACATTCTACTCAAACAATATGTCATTTTGCAGGGTCAACTTCGTCATTTTGGCCCATCTTGATTTTTTCCCCCTTCATCACTAGGCGCATGTTGCCTTTTTTTGTTTGGCTATTTCTTTTAGGCTTGCAATCTTCTAGATGGTTTTTGATTACTCCTCACAGAGTTCTAAGCTTCTTAGGAAGCAATAACTGCACATAGGCAAATGGCAAGGCCATCATGCCAAATCCTTGCCATGACCATGCCACACCTGATTTCAAAGAGCTAGACCCCTAACATGTAGCTCTTGAGTAGTAATTTTGGTATTTTTTAACATGTTGCTGTTGATCCGTCATGAATTAATGATTAAAATTGTGATTTCAGTAGACTTAATAACCATATGAACTGAAAAGTGTTGGTTTATATTTAGTCAACAATGGCATGCCAATTGGAAGAGTTGGTGGAAAGAGTTGGTGTGGATGCTAGGAGGAAGCTTCCTCCTTTGATGTCATGGGAGTTTGACATCAAGAGGAGGTAGTTTGATGTCACCAATGACATCAAGACGAGGTCTTTACCTCTATAAATAGATGCACTCCTTCATTTGTAGAAACCATCCCAAAAATAATACAATACATTGTAGTGAGTAGAGAGTTAAGAGAGAAATTCTCTTAAGTGTAATTGGGAACTCTCCCCTTATTTTGTTAATAATAAAAAGGCAACTATTCTTTGGTGGACGTAGGATTATTTTGATCCGAACCACGTTAAATCTTGTGTTCTTTCTTTTACGTTTCCGCTAACAATTGGTATCAGAGCAACAGGATTCGTTAACGATCCAAGGAGGAAGAACAAGCAAAGATGAGTTCCATGAAGTTTGAAATTGATAGATTCAGTGGACGCAACAACTTCAATATCTGGAAGATCCAGATGATGGCGTTACTGCGTAAGGAAGGTTCAATCCATGCTATTGACAGAAAGTATCATAAGGATATATCAGCTCCCGACAAGGAGAAGATTGAAGGGGATGCATTGAGTGCAATCCAACTATCCCTTGCACCTAACGTGCTTTGTGAAGTGAGTACGGGTACCGAAAAGACGGCCAAACAGTTATGGGAAAAGCTAGAAGGGCTATACCAAGATCGATCAGTGACAACAAGGATGTTGTTACAACGATGTCTTCACACATTTAAGATGGGGTCAGGTACTTTGTTACAAAATCATTTAGATGCGTTCAATAAACTTATCATGAACTTGCAGATTGCAGGAATTAAAAAGGAGGAGGAGACGCTTGCATGTGCTTTGCTATTTTCATTGACTTTAGGATATCGTGATATTGAGAATTCAATGATGTATAGCAAGGAGCCTATCAAGCTTGAGCAAGTGCGGCAGACACTTAACTCTAGTGATGTGCGGAGGCACATTGAAGGAGATAGAGATGACCAGGCAAGTGGGCTCTTTGTGAGAGGCCGGACTAGCCAACAGGGAAAGAGCAAATCAAAGCACAGATCAAAGTCTCGTGTGAACAAGAAGAATACAGAGTGTTGGGGTTGTGGCAAGAAGGGGCACTTTGAACGAGATTGCCCAATGTCAAAGTCCAAGGAAAAGGCGAGTGCATCTACAGTTGAACAGGTACATGATTTTGATAATGATTATGTACTAACAACATCGTGTAATAACAATAGTAGTTATGGAAATAAATGGGTGTTAGACTCTGCTTGTACTCTGCATATGACGTTCCGAAAAGACTGGTTTAGCAGCTATGAGAAAAGTGGAGGAACCGTAGTAATGGGCAATAATGCAACTTTTGCAATAGTTGGCATTGGCTCAGTTCGGGTTCGCTGCCATGATGGAGTCGTGAGAACTATTACACAAGTCCGTCATGTTCCTGATCCGAAGAAGAATTTGATCTCCCTGAGTACTCTGGATGAACAAGGCTACAGGTACATGAGCGAAAC